TTGCTGCACCTGTTCACCAGCTCTTTTTTGTACTGCTTGGTGTGTTTATGTATGTATGTATGTATGTGTGTGTGTATGTATACATATGTCAACCTCGTTATTGACCAGTCAAAGATATCAATGTTCTGGTGAGTTGAAGCCAGAAGCACGCAATCACTCCAATGTATGCTGCTTGAACTGGGCCCGGACTTTGATGTGTTTCTCTGGCTCGGTGGAACGAACGACGGGAGCGGCAGGCCAATCGTTGCGCCTGGATTGCGCAATGATGTCATGTAACTCCTTTCTGACCAGGTGCAGCTTTTGCTGCAGAGCTTGGAGAACGAGGCCCCACTGCCCCCCACCACCCATCAACCATGGCCCACCTCAATTGACGGCGCCTCCATGGTTCGTCCAAAGGAGGGCTTGATCGGAGGTAGCTTATTGCCATTTTACTTCAGAGGGCGCTTGACTTTATGGTCAAGAGGTGGAGGAACAGGCAGCGCATGCATACATACATACATAGATAGATAGATAGATAGATCGGTCGATCGATCGATCGATAGATAGATAGGCAGATAGACAGAAACACTTGACAACACCAATCAAAAACACCTGGTGCTTCCCACTCCACCGCCCTCCCGGTCCCATCAACTCGCTTTAGTCTGTCAAGGACCACTCCGGCTTTCACGTGAAATCCAGTCCTTGGTCACTGGATCGCGGGAGTCACGGTGTATGCCGTGGCTTGGGCAGAAGATCTTCAGGGCAGCTTGGCGAAAATGGGGACTGGGTGATGGGCTGGGATGGATTGAAGGATGGGCGAAAACAGTGGACATTCCCAAATGGGGCAAAAAAAAATGATGAATCACAATTCGCCCAACCTTTGGGGGATTGTCAGCTCGGGTGGCAATTGAAGAACCTTCAGGTTCTCCAAATCACACCGCGAGCTGGGTATGGGAAAGCAAACGAACAATCAATTCCAGCACCTCCCGGAAAAAGACACTGCGTTACGGACCCCCCCAATGGAAACACCACCCGTACCATCTATTCAGTAGCCAAAATCTCAACCCTTGGGCCGTCGTGAGGGATGGTCTTGGGCCAGCACTTTCCAAGGTTACGCGGCCCGTTTTCCTGCGAGCCTGCGTTTGCCAGGCACGGGCGGGGAAAACGCCGGCGGACACATGGCGGGAAGTGGCTCAACAAAACTTGGTTGGTAGTCACAAAGGGGTGCCTATTGGAGGATAGGGGTCCCCCATTATCCACTCACTTGGAAATCAAAAACCATCCTTTTGTGACTCCTGGTGGTAGGTTCTTGTCTGAACAATGTTGCACATTTTGTTCTGAAGTGATGCTCCCTCTCGGAGAAAGCTCAGTTTTGTATTCTTGTTAGTAATTACACAAACACCGGATGTGTTCAACAAAAAGCAACTCCCTAGGATCCAAAAAAAACACATTTTTTTAAAATGTTTTTTGGGTGGCCAAGCAAAATGAGGGCCCAAAGAAAGCAATTGTTTTTTGCTGGAAAAGACTTGGCTTTGGTATGTTTTGGTCAGGTTTCGGAGGTGCAACACTGTTGGAGACTGCAAGATCCGTCCAAGATCCACTCCACACAGCAGAGCGCCAGGCCATGCTTGCAACCTGAGCCTCCGCTGCGGTTAGCGCGTATTAGGGATTTTGATGGCTGCAACAATTCTGGAGGAAAGAGCTGCGCATTGACATTTCTTGGGAAAATGCAACCTGTTGAATCCTCAGGTATTTGTTCATTGAGCTCTCTCTCTCTCTTTTTCTCCTCCATCCCTTGTCCCTTCATACGTCTCCTTCTTTCCCTTCTTCCCTTCGCGTCACGGTCGACCGCACCCAGGCAGCTGTATTCAGCCTATCATTCTGCACAGCTTGCTGGAGACCCTCAGCTTGCCTGAGGAGCAGCGGAAGCAGAGTTTGGCGCTGATCCTGCTGCCGCTGGGCCCTGGAAAACGGAGAAAGCAAACCAAAGCGGTGCGAGAGCGAGAAACAAGTCCAGCGGCGTCACAACGGAAGAGCGACAGAAGCTTTGTTGGGGACAGAAGTTCACGTTCTCAGGTGGTATGTGCAACAGTGTACAGTACATCGATGCATTGATTCCATTTGGTTAGGATGGTTGCCTGGGCCTGGGTGTGGTCAAGGGGCAAGCCATATGTGTTCTTTTCCGACTCAGGAAGGGACACAGAGAATCCATCACCCACAAGATTCTTCACTTCTCTCCTTTTTGCCGTGAGGTGCTTGTTACTGGAACCTGGAACCTCTGAAAAAAGTTCCCTGTGCCAAGTTTGGGGGGGAGAAGAGGCTGAAGCCTGTTCAGCCTCTGCAGATTTGGTAGGTTCAGCCTCTTCTCCAAAGGTGTTGTGTTTTTCTTTGAAGAAAAGAACAACTCTTGGAGCAAAGACTGAGGAATGGTTAGCCATGATTCTAGCCAAAAGGTGTTTTGCTAGCCATGATTCTAGCAAAGATTTTGAGAGCACAACTGAGGAATGCCCTGGGCGTCGCTGGAGCAGTGTGGCTTTGTCATGCATTGGTAGTATGTGTTAACAAGAGGATTTCGAACCCAAAGAGAGACTTGATGGAAAACCCAGTTGTTTGGGGTTCCCTTCATTTTGATCAGGTTTCGAGGAGCTTCTGTGACTTGAGAGGAGGTGTTTCTCGAGACATCAGCAGGAGTCACTGCATTTTTTCTAAAAGCCTCCTGCAGAAATCTAGAGCTCGGACCCATCAAGAAATGAGGAACATCAATGACATCAATCATCCATCTTTGAATCATGATCAATCCACTCACAACAAAACATGCAACCAGAGTCAACCCCATTCCACAGCTAGTCCAAAGCCGGATATCTTGCACTTCTCAAGATGGTCTAGCGGAGCCCCGAGTTGCCTGCGTCAGGATGGGGCAATGGATCTTCGCGGAATATGCCTGGACCATGTTTGTCCGTGCTGACCTCGAAGCACAAGTCTTGCTGTCCCACTTGGTCTATCGCAAGAGCAGCTTGGACATGTCGGCGCATACGGCTGTCACTGTGCGGGCAGTGCGGATTCGCCATGATGAGAAGGGGGGGGTGAACGTAAGGATTGTTGACTCACATCGAACTTGAGAATCACCTCTTAGGCTCGGAACTCGATTTGAGGGCACAGACCTGGCCAGGTCTCCACAGAAGTCGATTCGTGCAACGAACGACGCAACTCACGGTGCAACGAACGACGACCGATCGGGTGCTCGTCTTCGATGCGCCACCTCATCAGTCTCTTCGCTGGCGACCCAGTGGATCGACCTCCTTTTCATCCCGATCCAAGAGAGGTTGAAAGGCTAAGAGATGCCCTCCGACAGAACTTTTTTGGGGATCTATGAGCTTAAGAAGGTTACAACCCTTCTTTGAGACCTGGAGGGGGCCCCAAACACCCGAACACCGCAGTACGAACGGGCGTTAGTACTCACGCGCTTTAAGGCCTCTTCTTACGGCTGGAGGAGTCCCCCTACACGGTCGGGGACCTGCAGAACCACTTCTCCACGGATTGCACGAAGCTGTTTCTTGGCATAGTCGTAACAAGAAGCTACTAGTATAACACAGGGCATCGCTGCGAACGGAGCAAGAAACTACTAGGGGCGCTCCTGGCACTACTAGTAGTAAGGTTATTTCTGCCACGGTTTTCGGGGCGAATTGGCAGGAACACCGACAGGAACACTGACCTTGCAGGAAGGTGGATCGAGGATCGAGCTGATCAGGACAAACATGCAAACCTGGAGATGACAGGTCATTTTGGGAGACGGCTGCGTCAATCCAGCTACGTACAGTCAACCAAATGAGCCAAAAGAAGGGTCTTGTCCTTCTTCTTCTTCTTCCTCCTCCTCCTCCTCCATCCACTTCTTCTTCTTCTTCTTCCTCCATCCACTCACCAAGAAGCCTACCACTCCTCCGAACCCCAACCCCACTCCCAGCACCGTTGACCGCTCGATTGACCGAGATGTCTTCATGACCGACCGTGGATCGACCGTTGCTGACTGGTGCGACTCGTAGGGAATAGGGGAATGAGCCCCCAATGGAGATTCTATTGGATCCAGCCACCCTCATTCCCTGCTTTCGCACCAGTCAGAGCGTCTGGTCCTTCTTCCAATTCTCCAAAAGCCCATGCGAGACTGCTGCGAACTCTGCGCCGGAGCCGGAGCGACATCGTCAACATCGCCCTGACCTCCAGGGTGTTGTCCTTCTTCCACTGGTGTCATGCGGATCTGGTCATCTCCGGCTGCACCTTGTTGGTGGTCGCCTGGCATCTCACCAAGCTCATTGGCTCTGCCGGGCTCATGGGCATGCTTACCGCGGCTCGTCTGGTTCGGCTCGTCGGTCGGACTCGATTCAGTGTGGCGGGTTCGAGTCAGAGCTTTGCAGAGGGAGGCGGGAAGTGTTTCTTTTTTTACGAGGGGCCTTTTCACGAAAGCTAGTATGCTAGCTGAGTTCTTCTTTGCTTTAGCAATTGGTAGTGGGATGAGCTGTGTGCCTTAAAGCTTGATATATCACACTAACCACCCCCCCCACGGTTCGACTCCCAGCTGCGCCGTGTAGCGGGGGTTGGTTGAACGTGTGAACGTGGTTGGTTGGGTGTAAACGGTGGCTTGGTGTAAACGGTGCTGCTGCTGCCGCCCTGCTGCTTGCTGCTGCTGTTTGCTGCTGCCGCTGGTTGCCGCTTTTGTAGCTGCTGCTTTGCTACTTGTTGCGGCTTGGTGCTGCTGCTGCTGTTGCTGACGACGCCGCTGCTGCTGCTGCTTGCTGCTTGCTGCTTGCTGCTTGCTGCTTGCTGCTGCTGCTTGCTGCTTGCTGCTTGCTGCTTGCTGCCGGTGGTGCTGCTGCTGCTGCTGCGGCTTGGTGCTGCGCTGCTGCTGCGTGGTGCTGCTGGCTGGCTGCTGGTTGGCGGTTGCTGCTGGCTGCAGGCGGCTGCTGCTGCTGCTGCTGGCTGCTGCTTGCTGCATAGGACTTGTACTTCACCGTTACAAGTTGTTTACCCCTATTTCTAACCTAATGCATGCATAAGCGGGTGGTAAATAGCCATACACCGGCTATTTGCTCAAGACACTCTATTCCTGATACCTTTTACCAGTGCTTATCCTACACTACGGACGCCCTAGTGTATGCACAGTCCTTGTGATGCCAGAAATGCTTACCCCTCTTTCCGGCACAAGGCATACATAAAGCGGGGGGGTAAATTTACCCCCCAGATTTGCAATAACCATAAGCCGGCTATTTCCTCAAGACACTTTATTCCATATACCTTTTAGCCGTGCTTCTCCTACACTACGGACGCCCTAGTGTATGTACAGTCCGTATGATGTCAGAAATGCTTACCCCTCTTTCCGACTCAAGGCATACAAAAGCGGAGGGTAAATTTACCCCCCAGATTTGCCGATCACGCATCTTCGTGCCTGCCAACGAGTGCACCCGGGTTGTTCCAATGTACCCTTCCCAGTCAGCGTCACATTTACATTTTTTAGCGCAAAGTATGTACATAGCAACCTTCCTCCCAAAACATGTAATCACTACATGCTTTGCCGACTATGTAACTAGTACATCCGGTGCGACTCGGCTAGCTTTCGACGTCCTCCCCCCTGGCCTCAAGTTGAACGACCTTGACTATTGGAGTCTATTGGAGTCTATTTGCCTGTGGGTCAAGTGAAGTACTGGAGAGAGTGTGGGTTTGTTGTTGGAAGTTCGCTGTCGGACAGGTTCTTTGATCGGAGCTTTCAATGTTTTCGGTCGTTGATCAATCGGAGTCTTTGTTGATCGGAGAAAGCTCCATCTAAGGTGCTTTCGTTTGCGCCCTTCCAGCTTCTTGGCTTCCGTGTGAGAGGCTTCAATAAATGCAAAACAGGAGCTTTGTTCAATAGCATCCATTGCTTTTATTGTTGCGCCGAAGGAGTTCACGACGTGCCTCTCACTTGAACTCCATCACGTGCACGCATCCACTTTCGTGCATGATGCAGTCCCAAGATGCGGAAGTAAGATTGAGGACCAGCATATAGAGAACCTCCGACCGAGTTTTTTCCGATTGAAGCTATCAAGCACTTGGTTCTTCCAACCAGTCATTGTTGTCCAGCTATCGACCATGAGATTTTTGATGTGGACATTACAGAGAGCTCGCAGCTTTTGATAGTAGTAGCCATATTTGATCGTCGGTAGCCGTTGTACACCCCGCAAGGGAATCGGAACCGAAGATGCAGCTCGAAGAGCGCTCTGAGCGCCACCAGGTTTGTGATCCGGCGGCGTTTGCGAGTGGCTGCCAAGCGGATTCAGGCGGCGGGTGGTCAAACGGCGGGAGAAGGAAGGATGCTTTGGAAACGGGTGAAAATTGAGGGCAGGTTAGGGTCAGGGATGAAGAACCAGAATGTAGCCAGAGCTAGTGGGTCAGGGTCAGGTCAGGGTCATGGATGTTGTTTTGGAGAGTTGGACTGGGTGAAGGAAACTGCGTGGAATCACTGGGAAGGAGTTCAAACTAAAGAGAGAAACTGTTTTTGGCCCCAGCTTGAGAACAGCTGCTTGGCAACTGTTGTAAGCAGCTGGAAAGGAACATGTGTTTACAACATGATGCAGCCATTCCTTTCTTCTTTCATCTTGAGCAGAACCTTCGGCGACAGTTCCGGCACCCCAAAGGCAGTTGTGATCGGCACATGAACAAAGCTGGTTGCGGCAGCTCAAAGCTCGACGCAGATTTTCCTAGGGATGCTGTTGATAGGATTTGGCATCTGATAGGTTTTGATGGATTTTCAGTTTTCTGTGTTTGTTTTCCTCGAGACGTGACATGTGCAAAGGGTATGGATGTATCAGCTTTCTACAGTCAAGAAGGAGTACGATGATGCTGGTGATGTCATATTTGTGCTCAACATGTCTAGCATCACCAGCTTGAACTTTTGAGGAATCTCATGCCGTTTCCTGGCGAACTATCGATGTTGCTTGCCATCTGCAGATGATCAACACGTCACCGATGCAGGGTTTGAATGGAATGGATCCAGTGTCCATGAAATCGCCGAACAGCGGTCATGAGGCATGCCCGAAATGACGGGGGGTTATGACGCAAGAATAGGGTTCCATCCAAAGCTGCGGGTTCCATCCAAGTGTGGGTTCCTATTGGTCTTATGTTGGGCTAGAAGCATTGGTCTGAACAGATGGCAAAGCCACTTGCCGCACTTGTTCCGGGATTGTTCATCTGTCAGCTGGGATAGCTGTGCCATCTACGATGAATGGTACCTACTCGGCCCGGCCAGGAAGCACGCGATGTCCGTGGCCGGCTTTGCAATGAGTTCTTGTCGGCGATGCGGGTGGTGAAATGCTTCTCCTTGGATCCTTAGCTGCAGACCTGATCGCCGAATGTGCCAAAGCAGTACTCAGAGGCAGAGAGTCTGGGAAGCTTGATACTACGCAACCGCTAGATATGCTGTTGCCACCATAGAAATCTGGGTGGATTTGGTCTGCGGTGACCCGAGAAACTGAATGAAGCAGGGCACCTGTATGCTGGAAGTTGTCTCAGGTGGTGCCGCAGTCGCGCCACTGCTGGGAAAAGAACCGGCCAGATGGGAACAGCCATACCTCACTTGCGATGGGCAAGTCCCGGTCACGGAACCGCACACCACCACCAACCTGAAAGGTTCCTGTTCTTCATCGCCTGCACCGCCACCAACCCTGCCGTTCTTTTCCGTCGCCTTTGACCAACCACTGAGGAGCCCATGGCGCTGGAGATGCTGGGCGGAGCCAGGGATCGAGAATTGGAGGCTCAATGGTTCAAGCGGAAGGCGCGGGGGCCACGGGCGCCGGGTGGAAAGACGGAGCCGCTGGGTTCGGGTGAAGCGATGCGATCCCGCGATCGCTGGGAGTGAAGGCAGTACCCAGAAATGGATCCTGAAGGAGCTGTGGTGGCCAAAGCCACACGACAGATTTCCCAAACACCAAGAGATCATTTTTTTGCGATTGAGCTTTCACAGTATCACTTTTCTTGAGAGTTGCGAAGGTTGAGCTTGGATCTTGCGAAAGATCCAGGTCTGTCATCCTTCTCTCATCCGAATTGGCATCGTTGGGGGTCGGGAACTCCGAACACCTTCCACTGCTCGAGACGTTGGGACCGAAAGCAAGCACCGAAAGCAACAACTGGGGAGCGGGTCTTCTTCTTTCAAGAGCTCCAAATGTCAATTCTCAAGAAGCCATCCCCGCGCTCCATCAGCAGTCCTTCGTTTTGGTATGGGAAGATCTTCAACTTGGCTCGCTAGCTTAGTTCGTGGTTCGTGTTCCGAGCTTGGATTCTGGAAGAACCAACGACCTTTCCCACTCCGTGTTCTTCAAGGTCCTCCGGCCGATGTTCCACATGAGCCGGGCGGACGGGGACCGGGGCCGGAGAGGTCTTTCCGTTCCAAAACTTCCTCGGAAGCTCCGTGAGCCTCTTCGGCACCATCATTTCCTTCCTCTGGCTGGAGCTGGTGCTGGATAAGCCAGTGGATGCTGCGATTGCCTTCACAGTGCCTGGTTGAAATCAAGCAGGTTTTCGGGTGTCATTTTTGAGTGAGGAGAAGATGGAGAAGGGGTCTGAGAAGTGTTTATTGTTTTTTTCTTCTTCAGGAGGTTCTGAACAGATTCTGCACTACAAGAGTATTTATAGGGTCATCACATCACCATGGGAGCCGGGCAATTGGGGAGGCCTGAATGGGCTGACTCGACTCCGTCCCTGAAACTAAACACAAGGTACCACACGAACATGCCCCAGGCCCCAGTACGGCAGATCAACCGTTCAGACCTTTCAAAGCATGGGTCCGTAACAAAGATGTGCTGCTTGGACCAACCAAAGGGCTCTCCACTGCGTCTCTTCGTTCCATGTGCTCACCTCCACGATCAACTGGGTTGCAAGGGGAACGATTGGCCCGCGACTCTGCGTCCGAGTCGTTCACACGCCGGACGCCTTTTTCACCGCTCTCCTCCTTCGCTCCCGAGCTCGGCGTCGGCCGAAGCTCCGCCGTTCCCACCGCCTTCCCTCGATCGCTGTCTTTGGCTGTGAGGTGCTCTCCTGGAGCGCATTGCTGAAGGACTCGCTGATGGCGGTGCCCAACCAGATCGCCACCCTGCTCGACTGCTACGTGAGTGTGCAACGCATCCAACAGCTCTTGACCTGCCAGGCGCGGGAACTCACGCGGGAGCGTCTTGGTGTGTGAGCGCTGGCGCGCTCACCATACGAGATCGCCATGGTGGACGATTGGACGCGTCTTGGGGGGGGATTGTTGAAGCGGGGTGTCACGGCTGTCAGCATATGTACAACAAAGTTGAAAGCTGCCAGACCTGCCAGAGCCAGGAAGCATGAGGTCGGGTCGCCGATGGGTTTGACATTAGGATCCACCAGCAGGACTAGACACTACTCATGGTCAATCACTGTGCAGGTGATTCGGTGATTCTGCCGAGCCACTGCCGAGCTGCTTATGCTCTTGTTTGGTTCCAACATTCCCAACAGCAGAATGCCGAGCTGCGCTCGTAGTAAACAGTAATCCAGTCAATTGAGTTGCTACCTGCTGTTGGGTTGCTACTTGCTGGAAGAATTTGGGGAGAGAGGTGCTGGTTCCTTTGTTCCCTCCCAAGTAGGCCCCTTTCTATTGCTCCAACTTGTCCCACGGAGACGACGGAGAGCGACAGGAGGAGGACACTTCCTGGCTTCAACAGAGTCCAGAAACGCTCCAGGACGAGGGTTTGCAGCAAAGTTGGTTCCATTGCAGGATGCCGTTGCACATGGTAGGCTGAGCCCTCCAAAAGCATGTATTGTCTTCATGCATGTTTCCTGGTCCTGTCTTTCGTCGAGGTTTTAGGCAATCAACATGCAATAACTACATTGGTCGTCTCTTTCGCTGGTTTTTAGCACCCTCTTCAGAGGGTCCTTCTCAAGGTACTTCGCCATTCGGCCATTCCGCCATTCGGCCTGGCATCGCTGCAGGTCCGCTGGTCCGTCCCAACCTGGTCGGCCCTCGGCGACGTCCGTCGGACCCGGGGAGTTTCGAAGAAAACCATGGTTTTGGTGATCAACGGCCGGGTTTAGAACACCCATCCAGTTGACCCAGTTTCCAAAGCAGTTGATCATACTGGGTTTCTATATCAGACTTATATAGCGTTTCACTTCACCTATCCCAACGACTGCAGGAGATGTCCCACCAGTCCGATGCGGAGTTTATCCTCCAGGAGGGTGTGTCCATTGATGACAGTTCTACTAATGAAGGTTCGGATGCTTCGTTCAGCATTTGGATGACACAAAACCAGTGGCTGAATGAACTGGCCTGGTTAATGATTTCTCAAGGCATGAGGTGGGTCTGCCAGAATTTGTGGAGGCTCTCATGTTGGTCTGATAAACCTGCCTGCCACAGCAGAAGCGGCAAATCATGGAACATCATGGTCCTTCCGTCCTTCCAAACAATTTAATTTGAAGACTAGACCAGTGACCAGACATGGTGGCGTTGCAAAAAACCCACCCAGTACCCCGAACGAGCAGCTTACCCGCCATGAATTCGAAGACATCCCCCCCCGTGTCGAACATCCGTGGCCAGGATGTGGTAGGAAGCATCTGTCTGGGACGACTTTGGGGAGTCCCACAGAGCTGACCGAACTCTGGACTTGGCTCAAAACTTGGCAAAGGTCTTCAGGTGCTTACCCTACTGTTGATAATGTTGATAGAAAAGAGTCCTTTCGCGCCGTCCGCACCACCGGTTCAAACATGCAGCTCCAACCTGAAGCGCTTTTGGTCATCTATTTGTTGCAGATCACAAAGAGACGAAGTGCTCTAGACCCACTCTGGAGTCTAGTGAAAAGATGAAGCAAACGGGAGACGCAAACGAATTAAGCGCCACCACCGCAGACAGGGAGGATCCGAGACCACGACTCCAAACTTTTGCCTGCTGGGTCATCGAAGAGCCCAATCAACATGACTTTCCTCATCCGGAAGAAAGAACTCAGCACCATTGGTGACACCCCTTCTTTCGTAAACTTTGCCGTTTGATTTGTTGGCATTTGATCAGCTTGCAGGGAAGATCTTATTCAGTACTTGCTTCCGTTGTACCCCATCTCCAAGTCTTTTCAACCCCCCGCTCACACACTGACTATGTGCAGCACCGCAGACTTCGATACTGCGAGGAGTGCAGTATCGGCTGGCCGCTGGACGAAGAGACCTGCCGAGGGATTCAAAAGCTGAACTTGACGGTGAAGCCACAGGAACTGCTGTGGCTTGGACGAGAAGGACGAGCGGCGACGAAGACCAGCGACACACGCCACACGCGAAACAAACGTGGAGTTCACTGTGATGGACCAACTGTGGCTTAATGGCAGATGACAGGATGTGGACGTCGGAGTTGAGGACGGGCTTTACAACCATTGTTGGTCAAGCGAACCTTGTGTCCTGCCCGCGTTGAATTCCCGTGCTCTCGCAACGAACTGGTCAAGATTCTTGCGCGGCCGCAGAGGTGAAAGGTTGAGTTATGGATTTCAGATGGATTCGTTTTCTCTTATTCTGTCGGAGGGTCATGGAGACGGGTCATGTTTCTTGTTCATGGCTGCACATCTGCACATGACACCCTCTATGACCTGCGCATTGCCCAGCTTTCATCATCTTTGCAAGCTGCCCCAAAGAACTTGAACGCACCTTGTGAACAACAACTGCAACACCAATGCGCCATCTGGGAAGATCAGATCTCCAGCGGGAACTTCCATGGAGGGCAACACAGCTATTTCATAGTCTATTTCATCCATACTCCCTCCAGTGTTGTATCACAGGGGAAGAACATTCAACGTGGTGTGTCAGTCACTTCGTGTAAATTCCTTGCCAGCAGAAGTGGTCAACAACCCCAAACTATATGGGCCAAACTGTTAACCAACAGGCAAAAAAAAGGTGCCAGAAGCAGATGACTCAGCCACAAACCACACACCAAAACACCAGTCGACATGTCTTTCCACTTGGCTTTCGCTTTTCACTTGGGCCCTTTCCTTCGCTCCTGCCGTGCAGGTTGATCTCGGGTCCCATTGGCTCGGGGAAGAGCACTCTACTGGAGGCCCTCACGGGAACTCGGCCCTTGCTCTCCGGCACCTGCTGGCGTCGAGGTGGAAGGGAAAAAGGGACAAACGCACACGGTTTTTGACGGCGCACATGGCGGAGGACGTGGGGTGCTTCGAAGAGACGTTCTGCTGTAGTTTGGACCATTTCTATCGGTGGACCATGTCTAGCAAGGCGGATAGCAAGGAGTGCTGCTGAAGTCATCTGAAGGGTCCAACACTTGTGACGAATAAGGGTCCAGCATCCTGACCTCCAGTCCAGTCACCAGGGTGGTCGGAGTGCCAAGGAGCAGAGGTTTTTCTCTTGAAACACATGAGGCTCGAGGCGCTTGTTCCTGAGGTCTGGAAGTTGTCAGCAGCGAAGTTTGGGGCAACATACTTTGATCATCTTTGATCTAACAGATGGACCAGGAAAGAATGCATTTCCTAGACAGTTTCCGGCACTTCCTCCCCTAACCATCAGATTGGGTAGAAGACATCAGTCATGAGTCATAACCCATAACCTCCCAATTCTTCCATGCAACCCCCCAAAAGGCACTGGTTTGTAGAGAACACTCTTTCAACTTCTCCGGCCCATTCTGGGGCTCATCTGGTGTTTTCCAGGATCCAACTTAGCCATATACTTCAAGAACCCTAAAGTTTACGCTTCTTACTCTGTTCCAACATGACACTTGCGGTCTACAGCGGATCGGATTAACAAGTCCATTTTGCGTGGCAGGTACAGCACGGTCAGATTTCCACACCCGTTTAAATTTATAATATTTATAAGGCTTTCAGGTGTGGAAATCTGACCGCAACTGAGGTGTCGACATGTTGCACGTAGGATTCTAAGGGGAAAGGGTTTGTGATGTTTTAGAAGTCAAGAAGCGCAACTTTTGGCACCCCAGTGCGTTATTACTAGGTATTAGCCTTGTGTTTACAACTAATCATGAGAAATGTTGTCAGGTTCGACATTAACGTTGTCCTGTTATAAAGTTAAGAAC